GGAGGGCAGGGGAGGGGCTGTGGGGGCGGGGCCTCTGGGGGAGGGACTGTGCTGACCCTGATGACCCCGTGTTGACCCCGCAGTGACCCCTGTGACCCCTGTAACCATCACTGACCCCAATGTGACCCCGTGACCCCTCCCTGACCCCCATGTGACCCCGTGTGACCCCGTGTGACCCTGTGTGACCCTGTGTGACGCCATGTGACCCTGTGTGACCCTGTGTGACCCCTGTGTGACCCTGTGTGACCCCATGTGACCCTGTGTAACCCCGTGTGACCCCGTGTGACCCCGTGTGACCCCATGTCACCCTGCTGTCCCCACAGATGTCGGTGTCCCTGCACCTGGACCCGGGCGTGGCCGTCACCGCCGTCCCCTGGTGGGTGCTGCCGCTGGCGGTGCTGCTGGGGCTGCTGCTGCTGGCGCTGCTCGTGCTGGGGCTCTGGAAGGTGAGGGACCCCCTGCTGTCGCGACATGGCACGATAGAGTGGAGCATATCGCGATATGGCACCATACAGCACGGCATATCGCGATATGGCACCATAGAGCACGGCATGTCGTGATATGGCACCATAGAGCACGGCATGTCGTGATATGGCATGATACAGTGTGGCATATCGCAATATACCCCTTGCTGTCCGGTGTCACATCACGATATCTCACACTGTCTGGTTCCATATCTCAATATCTCACGCTGTCCGCTGCCATATCGCGATATCTCACTCCGTCTGGTGCCATATCGTGATATCTCACTCTCTCTGGTGCCATATCGTGATATCTCACTCTGTCCAGTGCCATATTGTGATATCTCACTCTCTCTGGTGCCATGTCACAATATCTCATGCTGTCTAGTGCCATGTCGCGATATCTCACTCTGCCCGGTGCCATGTCGTGATATCTCACTGTGTCTGGTGCTATATCGCGATATCTCGCTCTACCCAGTGCCATGTCACGATATCTCACTCTGCCTGGTGCCGTGTCGCGATATCTCGCTCTGCCCGGTGTCATATCACGATATCTCGCTCTACCCGGTGCCATATTGCGATATCTCACTGTGTCTGGTGCTATATCCATGTCGTGATATGGCACCATAGAGCACGGCATGTCGTGATATGGCATGATACAGTGTGGCATATCGCAATATACCCCTTGCTGTCCGGTGTCACATCACGATATCTCACACTGTCTGGTTCCATATCTCAATATCTCACGCTGTCCGCTGCCATATCGCGATATCTCACTCCGTCTGGTGCCATATCGTGATATCTCACTCTCTCTGGTGCCATATCGTGATATCTCACTCTGTCCAGTGCCATATTGTGATATCTCACTCTCTCTGGTGCCATGTCACAATATCTCATGCTGTCTAGTGCCATGTCGCGATATCTCACTCTGCCCGGTGCCATGTCGTGATATCTCACTGTGTCTGGTGCTATATCGCGATATCTCGCTCTACCCAGTGCCATGTCACGATATCTCACTCTGCCTGGTGCCGTGTCGCGATATCTCGCTCTGCCTGGTGTCATATCACGATATCTCACTCTGCCCGGTGTCATATCACGATATCTCGCTCTACCCGGTGCCATATTGCGATATCTCACTGTGTCTGGTGCTATATCACGATATCTCGCTCTGCCCGGTGCCATATTGCGATATCTCATGCTGTCCGGTGCTATATCGCGATATCTCACTCTGCCCGGTGCCATGTCGCGATATCTCCCCGCCCTCTCTCCCCCAGCTGGGGTTTTTCCGGCGGGCGGCGCCGCCGCCGGCCGTGCCGCGGTTCCGGGCCGTGCGCATCCCGCGGGAGCAGCGGCCGCAGGCCCGCGAGGGCCGCACCGGCACCATCCTGCGGCCGCAGTGGGCGGCCGGACCCGCGGACAGGGACGGGGACAGCGCCGCGCCCGGACCCGCCTGAGCGCCACCCAGCGACAGACGGACACGGCTGGACAGACGGACACGGCATGGATGGACGGACACGGCACGGACAGACAGACACGGCACGGACAGACGGACACGGCTGGACAGACGGACACGGCACGGACGGACGGACACAGCTGGACAGACGGACACGGCATGGACAGACGGACATGGCACGGACAGACAGACACGGCACAGATGGATGGAGACGGGGCGGACAGACGGACACGCATGGCACGGACAGATGGACACAGCTGGACAGACTGACATGGCACGGACAGATGGATACGGCACAGACAGATGGACACAGCATGGACATGGGAGGGACAGCGACAGGGACAGCACCGCGCCAGGACCCGCCTGACGGACACCCATGGACAGACGGACATGGCATGGACACAGGGATAGACACAGCTGGACAGATGGACACAACACGGACAGATGGACACAGATGGACATGGGAGGGACAGGGACAGGGAGAGGAACAGCGCCGCAGCAGGACCCACTTGACGGACATCCGGGAGGGACAGACGGACACGGCACGGATACGGCACGGGTGGACAGATGGACGTGGCATAGACACGGCTGGACAGATGGACACGGGACATGGACAGATGGACATAGCTGGACATGGGATGGACACCGGATGGACATGGGATGGACAAATGGACATGGGATGGGCAGGGGGATGGACGCTGGATGAACACGTGGACACGGGTGGACACAGGACGTGGACAAATGGACACAGGGATGGACTCAATATGGACACAGCAGGGACAGGGACACGGACACAGACACAGGACAGGGGACATGGGACAGGGACGGTCCCTGGCTGTGCCCTGGGAAGGCCCCATGGAGGCCCTGCCATGTCCTGGAGCTCCAGGATGGGCAGGGGCCGGACAGAGCCACGGCCCCAGGGGTCAGTTCGGCCCCAGGGGTCACTTTGTCCCTATGGGTCACTTTTTGTCCCCAATAAAAGGCGCTGACCCCACATTGACTCCGAGTGTTCCTTCAGTGTCCAGGGGCTGCCGCCATGATGGGTGTGGCGGCCGCCATGATGTGTGTGGCAGCCGCCATGATGGATTGAGGCCGCCATGATGGGTGTGGCGACAGCCATGATGAGGGCAGCCGCCATGATTGTTGTGGCAGCCTCCATGATCGGAGTGGCGGCTTCTCCGTCAGGCCAGGCCGTGTCTCCCGGACTAGCCGGACACGCCCTCACCCCACGGGTCGGTCCCGGCCGCTCCGGACCCGCCACAACCCCGGTAACGGCGCCTGAAGCGCCACCAGCGCGGCCCTGCCCACACTCAAAATGGCGCCGCACGCCGAGGCCTCACCGGAACCTCCAACATGGCGGCGCCCACTGCGGGGGTCAGTGACGTCATTCTATTTCCGGCGCGGGCCGGAAGTGGCGCGGCCATGGCGGTCGGGAGCTCCAGGCGCTGGTGAGGCCGGGGGGCCCTTGGGGACACCGGGGAGGAGCTGAGGGGACACTGAGGGACGCTTGGGGACACCGGGGGGGCCTTGGGGACACCGGGGAGACCTTGGGGACAGCGGTGGCGGCGGTCGGGCCGGGGTTTGGGGCTGGGGACGCCGTGAGGGCCCCGCGCCCTCCTCGTGTCCCCTCAGTGTCCCCTCAGTGTCACCTCAGTGTCCCCAGCCCCCTCCTGTCCCCCCCCCGTGTCCCCTCAGTGTCCCCCAGTGTCCCCAAGCCTCTCTCGGTGGCACCCGGGAGGTGACACTGAGGGTCCTTTGCCCCCTCCCTGTCCCCTCCCCTGTGTCCCCATTGTCCCCAACCCCCTCGGGGTGACACCGAGGTGACACGGACGCGTCCCCAGATGCCAGCATGGCCACCAGCCGCTCGGAGGACGAGGAGTCCCTGGCGGGGCCCAAGCGGGGCCCGGCCACCCCCGCGGGGACTGTCCCCAAACGGCGCAGCTCCTCCAGGTAAGGGACACCGAGACACCCGGGGGACACCGGGACAGCCAGGGGACACAGGGGACACCCGGGGGACACAGGGACAGCCAGGGGACACTGGGACAGCCAGGGGACACTGGGACAGCCAGGGGACACCGGGGACACAGGGACAGGGAGGGGACACCGGGGACACCCGGGAGACACCGGGACACCCGGGGGACACAGGGGACAAGTAGGTGACACTGGGGACAGCCAGAGGACACAGGGACAGCCAGGGGACACCGGGGACACAGGGACAGGGAGGGGACACCGGGGACACCCGGGAGACACCGGGACACCCTGGGCAGGGACTGTCCCCAAACGGCGCAGCTCCTCCAGGTAAAGGACACCGGGGACAGCCAGGGGACACCGGGGACACCCGGGAGACACAGGGGACAAGTAGGTGACACTGGGGACAGCCAGAGGACACAGGGACAGCCAGGGGACACTGGGCAGGGACTGTCCCCAAACGGCGCAGCTCCTCCAGGTAAAGGACACCGGGGACAGCCAGGGGACACAGGGACAGCCAGGGGACACCGGGGACACAGGGACACCCAGGGGACAAGCAGGTGACACTGGGGACAGCCAGAGGACACAGGGACAGGGAGGGGACACAGGACAGGGACAGCCAGGGGACAGGAGAGAGGACACAGAGGAGGCACAGGGGACAGGGAGGGGACACCAGTGTCACAAAGGGGCAGGAGGGGACAGAGAGGAGATGGGGACGTGGGGAGGGGACAGAGAGGGGACACCAGGGAGGGGGAGGGGACAGAGAGGGGACACCAGGGACAGGGGAGGGGACAGAGAGGGGACACCAGGGATGGGGGAGGGGACACGTGGCGGCTTCTCCGTCAGGCCAGGCCGTGTCTCCCGGACTAACCGGACACGCCCTCACCCCACGGGTCGGTCCCGGCCGCTCCGGACCCGCCACAACCCCGGTAACGGCGCCTGAAGCGCCACCAGCGCGGCCCTGCCCACACTCAAAATGGCGCCGCACGCCGAGGCCTCACCGGAACCTCCAACATGGCGGCGCCCACTGCGGGGGTCAGTGACGTCATTCTATTTCCGGCGCGGGCCGGAAGTGGCGCGGCCATGGCGGTCGGGAGCTCCAGGCGCTGGTGAGGCCGGGGGGGTCTTGGGGACACCGGGGAGGAGCTGAGGGGACACTGAGGGACGCTTGGGGACACCGGGGGGGCCTTGGGGACACCGGGGAGACCTTGGGGACAGCGGTGGCGGCGGTCGGGCCGGGGTTTGGGGCTGGGGACGCCGTGAGGGCCCCGCGCCCTCCTCGTGTCCCCTCAGTGTCCCCTCAGTGTCACCTCAGTGTCCCCAGCCCCCTCCTGTCCCCCCCCCGTGTCCCCTCAGTGTCCCCCAGTGTCCCCAAGCCTCTCTCGGTGGCACCCGGGAGGTGACACTGAGGGTCCTTTGCCCCCTCCCTGTCCCCTCCCCTGTGTCCCCATTGTCCCCAACCCCCTCGGGGTGACACCGAGGTGACACGGACGCGTCCCCAGATGCCAGCATGGCCACCAGCCGCTCGGAGGACGAGGAGTCCCTGGCGGGGCCCAAGCGGGGCCCGGCCACCCCCGCGGGGACTGTCCCCAAACGGCGCAGCTCCTCCAGGTAAGGGACACCGGGGACACCCGGGGGACACAGGGGACAAGTAGGTGACACTGGGGACAGCCAGAGGACACAGGGACAGCCAGGGGACACCGGGGACACAGGGACAGGGAGGGGACACCGGGGACACCCGGGAGACACAGGGGACAAGTAGGTGACACTGGGGACAGCCAGAGGACACAGGGACAGCCAGGGGACACGGGGACAGCCAGGGGACACGGGGACAGCCAGGGGACACGGGGACAGCCAGGGGACACTGGGCAGGGACTGTCCCCAAACGGCGCAGCTCCTCCAGGTAAAGGACACCGGGGACAGCCAGGGGACACAGGGACAGCCAGGGGACACCGGGGACACAGGGACACCCAGGGGACAAGCAGGTGACACTGGGGACAGCCAGAGGACACAGGGACAGGGAGGGGACACAGGACAGGGACAGCCAGGGGACAGGAGAGAGGACACAGAGGAGGCACAGGGGACAGGGAGGGGACACCAGTGTCACAAAGGGGCAGGAGGGGACAGAGAGGGGAGGGGACACAGGACAGGGACAGCCAGGGGACAGGAGAGAGGACACAGAGGAGGCACAGGGGACAGGGAGGGGACACCAGTGTCACAAAGGGGCAGGAGGGGACAGAGAGGAGATGGGGACGTGGGGAGGGGACAGAGAGGGGACACCAGGGCCCCCCCCCGGCGCTGCCCAAGCGGCTCAAGAAGAGCAAACCCAGCCCCGCCCCCCGCGACCTGGGCAGGTGGAAACCCGCCGATGACCTGCTGCTCATCAACGCCGTGCTGCAGGTCAGGCATGGCCAGGGGGCTGGGGAGACCCCTGCCCGCCTGGGGGACCCCCCTCAATTGGGGAACCCCCCCTCAATTGGGGGATTTGGGGGGGTTTTGGGGGGAAGCCCAGAACGTCACTTGGGGCTCAATGGCTTCTCATGGTACAGCTGAGACACATCTGGAGGGCTTTGGGGGGATTTTGGGGGTCTCTCCTCACCTGGATGAACTTGAGGGACCCCCTCACACCTGGGGCACCCCCCCTCAATTGGGGGATTTGGGGGGGTTTTGGGGGGAAGCCCAGAACGTCACTTGGGGCTCAATGGCTTCTCATGGTACAGCTGAGACACATCTGGAGGGCTTTGGGGGGATTTTGGGGGTCTCTCCTCACCTGGATGAACTTGAGGGACCCCCTCACACCTGGGGCACCCCCCCTCAATTGGGGGATTTGGGGGGGTTTTGGGGGGAAGCCCAGAACGTCACTTGGGGCTCAATGGCTTCTCATGGTACAGCTGAGACACATCTGGAGGGCTTTGGGGGGATTTTGGGGGTCTCTCCTCACCTGGATGAACTTGAGGGACCCCCTCACACCTGGGGCACCCCCCCTCAATTGGGGGATTTGGGGGGGTTTTGGGGGGAAGCCCAGAACGTCACTTGGGGCTCAATGGCTTCTCATGGTACAGCTGAGACACATCTGGAGGGCTTTGGGGGGATTTTGGGGGTCTCTCCTCACCTGGATGAACTTGAGGGACCCCCTCACACCTGGGGCACCCCCCCTCAATTGGGGGATTTGGGGGGGTTTTGGGGGGAAGCCCAGAACGTCACTTGGGGCTCAATGGCTTCTCATGGTACAGCTGAGACACATCTGGAGGGCTTTGGGGGGATTTTGGGGGTCTCTCCTCACCTGGATGAACTTGAGGGACCCCCTCACACCTGGGGCACCCCCCCTCAATTGGGGGATTTGGGGGGGTTTTGGGGGGAAGCCCAGAACGTCACTTGGGGCTCAATGGCTTCTCATGGTACAGCTGAGACACATCTGGAGGGCTTTGGGGGGATTTTGGGGGTCTCTCCTCACCTGGATGAACTTGGGGGACCCCCGCCCATCTGAGGGACCCCCTCACACCTGGGGGACCCCCCCTCAATTGGGGGATTTGGGGAGGTTTTGGGGGGGGATCCCGGGACGGTCACTTGGGGCTCAATGGCTTCTCATGGTACAGCTGAGACACATCTGGAGGGCTTTGGGGGGATTTTGGGGGTCTCTCCTCACCTGGATGAACTTGGGAGACCCCCACCTATCTGAGGGATCCCCTCAAACCTGGGGGACCCCCCCTCAATTGGGGGTTTGGGGAGGTTTTGGGGGGAAGCCCAGAACGTCACTTGGGGTCAATGGTTTCTTGTGGTGCAGATGAGAGCACACCTGGGGAGGTTTTGGGGAGATTTTGGGAGTCTCTCCTTACTTGGATGAACTTGGGGGACCCCCACCCACCTGGGGGACCCCTCCTCAATTGGGGGAACCCCCTCACCTGGAGAATTTGGGGGATTTTGGGGGGAACCCCAAAATGGCCACTTAGGACCCAACGGCTTCTCCCGGTGCAGCTGAGACACACCTGGGGGGCTTTGGGGAAGTTTTGGGGGGTCTCTCCTCACCTGCAGGATTTTAGGGTGACCCCAACACCCCCAGGATCCCCCCCTCACCCCCTCACCTGGTTTTTTTTTGGGGTTCCCCCCCAGACCAACGACCTGACCTCGGTGCACCTGGGGGTGAAGTTCAGCTGCCGCTTCACCCTGCGCGAGATCCAGGAGCGCTGGTACTCGCTGCTCTACGACCCCGTCATCTGCAAGTGAGGCTCTTTGGGGGGTCCTGGGGGGTCTTTGGGGGGCTTCAGAGGGTCCCACAGGTCTGGGCGGGTCTGGCAGAGTCAGGGGACACAGGTGACACCCATGGGACACCCAGGTGACACTCAGGAGCGCTGGTACTCGCTGCTCTACGACCCCGTCATCTGCAAGTGAGGGCACTTTGGGGGGTCCTGGGGGGCTTCTGGGGGGCTTCTGGGGGTCCCACAGGCGTGGCAGAGCCCGGGGACACAGGTGACAGCAGGGGGACACAGGTGACACCCCTGTGACACCCGTGTGACACCTGTGTGACACCTGTGTGACACCCAGGGGGGCCTCAGGTGTCCCCAGAGGGGTTTGGGGTGTCCCCAAGGGGGCCTCAGGTGTCCGGGGTCCCACAGGCGTGGCAGAGCCCGGGGACACAGGTGACAGCAGGGGGACACAGGTGACACCCCTGTGACACCCGTGTGACACCTGTGTGACACCTGTGTGACACCCAGGAGCGCTGGGAGCTTCTGCTTTAGGAGCCCAGGGGGGCCTCGGGTGTCCCCAAGGGGGGTTTGGGGTGTCCCCAAGGGGGTCTCAGGTGTCCCCTAGGGGGTTTGGGGTGTCCCCAAGGGGGTCTCAGGTGTCCCCCGGGGGGCCTCAGGTGTCCCTGGGGATTTGGGGACAATTCCAGCAGTGTCACCTGTGTCCCCAAGCTGTCATGCCAGGCCGTGGAGCTGTCCCTGAGGGCTGTCACAGGGGTGTCCCCAATGTCCCCAATGTCCCCAGGCACTCGTGCCAGGCCATGCGCCAGCTGCACCCCGAGGGTTGGGCTGTCACAGGGTGTCACAGGGGTGACACAGGGTGTCACAGGGCTGTCACAGGGGTGACACAGGGGTGACACAGGGGTGTCCCCAATGTCCCCAGGCACTCGTGCCAGGCCATGCGCCAGCTGCACCCCGAGGCCGTGGCCGCCATCCAGAGCAAGGTCCTGTTCAGCAAGGCCGAGGAGCAGCTGCTGACCCGCGTGCCATCGGTGAGGAGTGTCCCCAAGTGTCCCCAAGTGTCCCCAAATGTCACCTAATGTCACCCAACATCACCCCCTGCTGCTGACCCGCGTGCCATCGGTGAGGGCTGTCCCCAAGTGTCCCCAAATGTCACCTAGTGTCCCCTTGACATGTCCCCAGAGCCCTGTCCCCTCGCTGGACACCTTCCAGGAGCTGCTGCAGGCTGTTTTACCCTGCCAGGACCTGTCCCCTGACGTGTCCCCGTGTCCCCAGAGCCCTGTCCCCGTGTCCCCATGTCCCCTGTCTGTCTGTCTGTCCCAGAGCTGACGGTGGCTGACCGGCGGCAGAAGCGCGAGATCCGGCAGCTGGAGCAGGAGCTGCACCGCTGGCAGGTGCTGGTGGACTCCATCACAGGTGGGCCCCGGCCGTCTGTCCGTCCGTCCGTCCGTCCGTCCGTCTGTCTGTCCGTCCGTCTGTCTGTCCGTCCGTCTGTTTGTCCGTCCATCCGTCTGTCCATCTGTCTGTCTGTCTGTCCATCCATCTGTCCGTCTGTCCATCTGTCCCTGGGTCCATCCCTGTGTCCGTCTGTCCATCCTTGGGTCCGTCTGAGTGTCTGTCCGTCCATCCCCGTGTCCATCCGTGTGTCTGTCTGTCCATCCATGTGTCTGTGTGTCCATCCCTGTGTCTGTCTGTCCGTCCCCGTGTCCATCCGTGTGTCTGTCTGTCCATCCGTGTGTCTGTCTGTCCATCCGTGTGTCTGTCTGTCCATCCGTGTGTCTGTGTGTCCATCCGTGTGTCTGTGTGTCCGTCCCTGGTCCCTGTCTCTGTCTGTCCGTCCCTGTGTCTGTGTGTCCATCCCTGTGTCTGTCTGTCCGTCCGTGTGTCTGTCTGTCCGTCCCCGCGTCCATCCCCGTGTCCGGCTCTCTGTCCATCCATCTGTCCCCGTGTCCCTCTGTCCCCTCTCTGTCCCCATTGTCCCCCTGTCCCCTTGGTGTCCCCCGACTGTCCCGAGTGTCCCTCTGTCCCCGTGTCCGTCTGTCCCCAGCTGTCCCCATTGTCCCTTGAGCACCCTGAGTGTCCCCGGAGTGCCCCTCTGTCCCTCCACTGTCCCCCTGTCCCCTGAGTGTCTCCTGTCTGTCCCTCACTGTTCCCATTGTCCCCTCGCTGTCCTTCTCTGTCCCTCTGTCCCCTCTGTCCCCTGGCTGTCCCCACTGTCCCCTCACTGTCCCTGTGTCCCCAGAGATGAGCTCCCCGGATTTTGACACTCAGACTCTGGCACTGCTCCCCATTGTCCCCCTGTCCCCTGTGTGTCCCCTGGCTGTCCCCTGAGTGTCCCCAGAGTGTCCCCTCTGTCCCCTGGCTGTCCCCACTGTCCCCTCACTGTCCCTGTGTCCCCAGAGATGAGCTCCCCGGATTTTGACACTCAGACTCTGGCACTGCTCCCCATTGTCCCCCTGTCCCCTGTGTGTCCCCTGGCTGTCCCCTCTGTCCCCAGGCTGTCCCCCCTGTCCCCTGTGTCCCCCTGTCCCCTGGCTGTCCC